ATTGATCTGGAAATAACTTCTGAGTGCTTTGTGACATAAAGGTAAATGAAGATTGTCGTGTACACTGTAGTTTGTATGAAATGCCATAATACATATCTTGCAACAGTATTTGATCTGGATTTTACAGCAATGGCCTTTGCTTTCCTTGTTTCACTTTCCCCTCTCACCTTCAACATAAAACTCACTGATTTCAGAGGGGGCTTTGCAGCTGACTTCAGTAGCATGTGGTTGAGGGTCTGAAAGCTTAGTGACAAACTGTTTTCAAGATTAAGAATGAGCTTGGGCTTTCTTAAAGCGCTGTGCACTGTAACAAATAGTAAAGTCAGGAAACTTACAGAGTAGGAGGAGGTCCCAAATGGGTTTTCCCCTCCCCATTTGGACTATTTTCCACTCCTTTTTTATTTTTTGTAGAGAAGGAAGAATGGGAGTCATTTTCTCTCTTGCCATCAGTGCCTCTAGAATCAAGCAGCATTAAGAAGAATTCTTCACAAAGCTTTTTCAAGGATCTTTTGTTAGATTCTTCATTTGGAAGGTAAGATTGAAGAGAAATGAAGGGAATTTTCCATTTAATAAAAGAATGTGAAGCTGTGAATTGAACTATAGTTACTTAAATAATTCACTTTCTAGAGAAGTAACATTAAAGTATGATATTTTTTAATTCTCTGAATATTCAAAATTACCATGATCATGTCAGTTGAAGTTAGTAGCCAAAGGTATGCAACATTTTTGTGTTATCTATTCATGAAAAAAGAATATTGTTAAAGGAAGGGTGAATTGTTAAATGAATTGTGTTCTTAAGTTTCGTTTATCTCTTTGTACTTCACTGGATATTGCTTCCAATGCTAGGAAGGCTTATATAATTATGCATTTATAACCTTGGCAAAAAAAATACTGTACAAGACAATTTTATACCTTATTTGATATTAAGGTAAGAAGGCACTTACTTCTAAGTAGGGCTGTTACATTCATTATAGTGGTTGCCATATTTCAAAAACTTTATGTATGTTAGGACATTTTTCTCTATGCAGAATACTTTTGGGCTCCTCTTATTAAAGTCTGAGGTGTGTTCAAAGCCACTGAAGCCAAAAATACTTGCAACAGCAAAGAATTAGGCCTGGTGTCAGGCATTTAGAAGGAAATACATAATGAATTGTTGCTGTTCTCTCCTGTTCCTTATTGATTGGTCAATAGTAGGAAAATAATTTGCCTTGGAACAAAGAAATTTTTTGTAGGATTATTCATTAGCCAAAGTCTTTTGTATTAGAATGAGGACGAGGGGTCAAACTGTAGAATCATATAATGAATTGGGTTGGAGGAAACCTCAAAGATCATTTTGTTCCAACCCCACTGCTGTGAGCATGGCTGCCACTCACTCGACTAGGGTGCCTAGGGCTCCATCCAGCCTGGCCTTGAATCTCTGGAGATGGAGCATCCTCAACTTCTTTTGCATTCAAAGAGACTGTTTTAGAAGAAATGGTGAATCTATTGGATAGTGTTTCTCTACTGAGCTGGATTTTATTTTGAAACTGGTTGAATCAGTAAGGTGCCATGCAGTGCCAGGAGCCTCCTTGGAAGAATTATGTATAAGAATTAGTAGGATAGAGTCTGAGTCTGTACATTTCCTGCAGGTTGGTGTGGTCAGATGACAGTTTGGATTAAAGACTGTTCCTGTTGTTCTAGATAAAGCCTTTGTAGATGCTAGCTGATGTGCTACTTGCAAATGGTGTGCTTTCTGCAAACAGATTCTTTTTTTTTCACATATATATAAAATAATACATTCTTAAAAAACAGTGATTATAAGTGCCAGCATTAATTTTGGAGTTGGTTTGTTCATGTCATTAGACAACAGTGGAGAACAACTACATTACTTGGGTCACTGGAGAAAACAAAGAGTGCACAAACTTACAAACTATATTAATTTTAAAATATTTGCTTAAAATGGAAATGATAGTGAAACATCATGTGTAAGGTGTGGGTATGAAACAAAAAATTTTTGAGAAGTAACAGTCCCACTGAGAAAAGCATTTTAAACCATTGCAACTGAGTAAGAAAGAGGTATCTGTTAAGCAAAACATTGTGGATGTTACAGTATATAACTGTCAAATAACAAAACTGGTAAATGTTTGGTGCTTTTTTTTTTTTTTCCCTCCCACACAAGAACTGAACAATATTCTATTTTTAGTGAAAGGTCAACTTGAACTTTATTTAAACAGTCTCTGGTTCTGAATAGAGATAGGAACACTTTAAAAGCGATAACGAAGGGGAGGGCTTGGAGCCAAATGTTTTAAAACTATGGTTGCCAGCACAAGATAGTCATCCATGTACCAACTGTGTGCCACTTCAATGAGAAAGGGTGCTTGTGTGCTGCTCAAAGTGCAAGCAGTGAAAATAGAACAGGGGCTCATGTCAAAAGATTTTTTAAAAGTTTTTAGAAAAGAATTTGGAGAGGGTCTGAAGAGCATAATGAAAACCTTTTCTTTTGAAGGAAACGCTGCCTCTGTCGCACAGCTTCCTTTTTGTTTTTCCTTCTGAAACAAATAATTTTTTTTGATATCTTAAATATTAGCACTGTAGTTCTTGGGCAAAAAAACTTCAGTTCTTGGGAAAAAATGCCTTGGAAAAAGTGTTAGGAAGATAGGGCTGTTAAAATATTTCTAAACTAAGTAGGATTATTTTGGTTCTGTTGTCACTTCTATTTAGTTTACTGCTAATATAGTGTGATCATCGTCAGGCCTGTAAGTTTCTTCAGTGATACTTGTGTGGAGGAGGATTTCCTTGTTGTGGCTGTAGACTCAGGACTAAAGCACACATTTGTGGATTGTTGCTGGTTGAAGAGCAGAGTCTGGCATGCTAGTGCAAAGCCAATGGCTGTGCAGCTGATCAGACTATAGGATTCACACCTCTGCTGGAATGTCTCCTAGAACTCGTCACTGCGTTGCAACTGACTGTGAAAAAGTGCATGCAACCAAGGCAGTAATTTTGATAGTATATTTAAGGGAGAAGAATGTGTTAGCTGATGTTACTAAGAATAAGAAATAGTAATATCTGAGTAACGTTGATCCGACTATGGAAGATTATATTCTCTAGATTTACGTTACAAGATGTGTTCAGAAATGATTTAATCAGCCTGTTTATTGGCTGCAGTTTGTAGGAGTAAGGTTCTCCAGTTAGGTGGACCACCAGATAGATGTATCACCAGATTCTGTCCCTGATTCTTCCACTGGCAATCTGTGTGATTGTGAGCAAGTAATTTATCTCAGATTGTTTCCTTGTGTGGAATTGAAAGATAACCTCTACATTAAAAAGAGATTTGATGGAATGCACTACGGGAGAAGTAGACACAACTTTTTAGTAAGGAGAAGGGTGCATTGAGAATGTTATAATCCAGAGAAAATTCATCATTTGATGTCTCACTAGACATCACACTTTTTGAAAGGTGTTCACGAACTGAAGTATGAATTCCTCATCTCAAACATTTTTTTCTATAAACATTAAGTAAAGCTTTTTATGCAATTAGATCATAACCTATTCCTCACCATTTGGATTCTCCTGTACCCAGTAAGAAATAGGCTAATACTGTTTTCTTTTCCTTGGTAGATTCATTTTTAAAGGGATGATGTATGCCACTCTACTTACTTACACTGAGAGCTATGTTGAATTTGGCAGAAATCTTGTTTCCCTCGGAGTTTCAGTTGTTTTTCAGACGTGTTAGAAAGGTGGCCAGTGTGTTAAGGAGAATGTAGTCTGGACTATGTGAATCCAGTATTTTTTTATTTTTATTTTTATTTTTCTTTCTCAGCACTAAAAGTATCTTTTGGTTACTTCACTGTATATTTATATCTACGTGCTAAGACTGGTAGTAGCCTGCAGTGAATAAATATAATTAATAACTCTGAATCTTGCTACCTTCCAGTTCTCTGGCTATTCTTTCTTTTCAACTGCATTTGCATTAGCAGATGTTTCTTCTTGCTAATGATAAGAAATAAAAAAAAAAAGCTGAGGTAGTTAAGATATAACCTGGCAGCTTTATATAGTAATCCATCTTGCCACATGTTTTATGGATTTTCTCCAGTGTTGAATGAATGCCATCCTTCCCATCTATTGCTGCATTCCAGTCTGTGGCCTGGCCCACGGAATTTCATGCTGCTATGTTGCAAACCCAACTAGTACATCTTAACAGATTTTCCTCCCCATTCTGGAAATTATTTTCTCAAGTACCATCTAAAGGATTTAGACAAAATACAGTCACTGTTTTTGTTGCTTTCATAAAATTTGATTTACTCTCACTGTACTGAATCACCAGCAAAAAAAAGCTAACAAATTCCTGAAATGGTGCCGATGCCAGCTGATAGAGCTGTTAAATAATTATTTGGTCTTAAGTTGTTATTTATTATATAATAAAGTGTTCTAGTACACACTCTCAGCAATGCATCATGTCTTAGAAATCTCAGGTGTCTTGCACGTGTATCTTTTTTACAAATAGTCATCCATCCTGCTTTGTTTTAATATATTTTCTTGTCTTCCTTTTTTTTCCCTTTATTTTTTAGAAGGCAACGGGCCTTTGAATTTAATGACATTGATAGGATAATACACTAGATGCCAGTGAGGAACAACATGCAACAGAAAGAAAACAAATTTGGTGCCAAATGATTGGGTTAGAGCCTTATGAATCCTTTTGCTGTCCAGTTCAGAAGCTGGTCTGAGTCACTGCCTTGAGACGGAATCTGGCATATGACCAGAATGTATGGGAAAACAATAGCCTTGCTGAAAGAAGAAGAAATTATTTATTTACAAGAAATAAGCACCAGAAATATGAGTAATGGCATATTTCATATTTCAAGGCTTTTAATCTTTTTTTTTTTTTTTTAAATGTATCTATGTGTCTGTGTAGTTGTGCACTTGTATATAGCTTTAAGGATGCCCATCCCCCTGCCACCATTCCAGCAGCCACTATGTCCTGTCAGTCATCCTGAAATACACTGGACAGCTTGTCAGGCAGTCCCTTGCAGATGCCTCAGAAGCCAAATAGTGAGCCAAAGCAGTTGCACTGAAGCTCCCTAACACAAGGATATTACATAGGCAGTTGCTTTAGTTCTGAATATGGACCGTTTGTATTCTAGCATAGGTGAGTGATGTGCTGTTAGCTTTCTACTGACTTAGCAGGAAATGGATTCTAAACTTCTCTAATTTCTGCAGAATATCTGTGACTCTGTTTTCTAACTCTAACTGGTTGATCTGTGTCTGCATATGGCTTACTTTCACACTGATCTAAGAAAATGCAGGTACTGTGTTTGACTGTACTGCAAATTGATAGAAACTAACTATTTTGTAAGGGTATGTTTTTCTTAGTCCACAGCAATCAGTATTTTCAGCTTGGGCACATCTGCTGACAGGACCAGTTCTTATTTTAAGTTTGCAGCACTTGTAGAAGAGTGCAGGTGGTTGCTTTACTGGATGTTTGGAAACAGCAGAACTGTATCTGGTGACACATGCTTAACATCCTAAGTGTTGTAAGAGTTCCTGGTCTACAATGCTGAAATTGCCTACTGAAAAGGTTAATATAACCAAGTGTGTGGTTAAAGCAGCCTTTTAACAAAACATCTTGCAGTCAAGATCTGTACTGTATGTAGAGAGTGAAATAACAACAGCAGCAAACAAACAAAAATAATCTAAAAAACCCCCAAAAATGTGGTTTTTTTTTTTTTCATATCTTGAAGGAGGCAATAAAATTTATCTACTTAATTAAGAAGTGGAAATGTCACAAAAAGGCTCAGAATAATTTCTACTACCAGCATTTTTCTTTGCTACCCTCTATACTTGTCTCTATTAAAAACAAACAAACAGAAATCAACCCAAAAAGCTTTTGTACTAATATGGTAAATAATAGTGACAAGAGTCTGTTAAGTTAAAGAAGTGGTAACAGTGTCAAAATAATGTAAAGTTTTACACTTTTCACTGCATTTGTTTGCAAGTATATTTTCCCATTTTGTCTGCTTAAAAAGAACATTAGAATTATAAATATATATATTAGTATTATTAGGAGAAAACAAACAAAACCCCCCCAAATAACTAGAGTCAGTAGCAAAGTCTTTAAATAGGGCATTTATAGCTTAGAATATAACTAAAATTTTCAGAAACAATAAAGCAAAATTTGTAATTGATTTTCAGTTAATGATAATTTATTGGCTTGTCCCAAGGCAATAAAATATTGTAGATTTCAGAAACCTGTGGCTGGGCTGAGCAAAGAATAACAATATCTGCATTAGACCATATTTTAAGGTTTAGAAATCTACAAACACAGAGAAGGTAAATTCTCTGTACATGGAGATTTTTCTGATGTTAAGAAATGGAACTGGATTTGCAACGCTGTATAAATTTGAGATTGTTTAGTGGAATGTGATTATAATTACAACCAATTTGCCAAATTTTAGAAAAGATCTAATCTTTGTAGGTGATACGTAGTAGAAGAAGGTGTGTTGAGAGAAAGGGGGGAGCTCTCTGCAAGCAGCAAAGGTCTCATGTTTGAATTTTGAGTGAAATGGCTAGTAACACCCTTCTGTCAGTGAATCAAGTGGAAGCCTTTACAAATTTAAAGCGTGGCTGAATGTGAAGAAAAAAATAAGCTGACAATCATCTTGTGAGTTTTTCAAATCTCAATACAAGTGTGAAGTGTTGTTTTCAGCCCATTCTTACCTACTCCATTTCATCTTTCATCATCAGGTCCAGAAGGAATTCGCAGCAGAATCAATGTAATCTGTTTGCATTTGTTGTGATTTATTTAAAAAAAATACTCCTGTGCTGGGAAGTTTCTGAAAATTATGTCAAACATAAGAAGTGTGAACCAGCAGTATCATTAAAACCTTTGAGTCCATGTGAGTAGAGAGCAGGCTCCTTGGAGCAATGTAGAGAAGTGATGTATGAACAATGAAGTATGGATAGTAAGAAAAAATGTTTTTTCAAGGTTATGGTATGATGTGGTTGGATATAATCCAAGTGAATCTAGAGGAGAGTTGTTGAATTAAGTGGACTTTTTTGTTTGGGGGTAAACACAGCAGGGTGATGTTTCTCAGTTCAATGCATGAAGTTCATGGGCTATATCAACATGCTGACAGGTGGGCAAAGACGTGCCATACACCCTCTGTGCCAGTGCTGCAGAGACAGCCAGAAATGCTTGTACTACTGGTTTATTATGGAAGAGGCACTTGAAAAAGTTGTTAATTGCCAAAACAGTTTAGTTTTGAAGATGAGAAAAACAGAGACCTGAATGACAGATATTTTGTGACTTTCAAATGAAATAGTTGGAACTAAAAAAAGCTCACTTCAATAGATTATAGAGGCTCTCCCAATAATTTTTGCTGTCTTTGAATCAAGCATGTGTGTGGGAGTCTAAATGTTGGTGAAAACCTATGTTCCAGGTTACTGATAGCATTTGCTGTGTTAGCAGGAGAGTTGCTGGAAGTCTCTCATGTAGCTCTACCTATAAACAAGCTGTAGTGTGATGAACTTTACAGGTAGATAAATTTCTCTGAATTTTCCTTGTTAAAAATAAAATGATGCAGCTGATAAGTGTTAGACTTCTGAGACTGCATTTTGTACTAAGTCCATTATTATTGAGAGGTAGAAACTTAAATCACTGTACATTCAGTATTTTTTCAAATAATCATATAGTTGCAAACTTGGTTTCATTTCTGTTTTTAGTTTTCTTGCGTGAAGGACCAATGAATATTTAGAGTAATAATCACTATTGATAAAAAGAATAAAGAAAGCTTGCTTGAATGAGTACAGTCTAGATGTCTTGGTCTAAGCTGTAAGAAGAAACTCCAGTTGCATAGTTCAGATCACCTAGGATGTTGCATGCACAATGTAAAGAAACCAGGCAACTTTGCAGTTTTGTGATGTCTTAAATTATGGGTTTATGAAGCCCTCTGAATGACTCCGTTTCACTTTTGTTGGTTCCTCTGCTAAACAGCAGATAGAGTATGCATTACTTCTTGCTTTATTGCATTCACTCTCTGCTATGACAAATTGATTACAATATTTTACTAACTTTGCAATTTTATAGTTCTGAAATTCTAGATATTGTCTAGAGTCAGAAACGGCATAAAACTTTTATCTTTTAGAACCACTTTGTTTTGAAAATTCTGAATTATTTTTAATGCTTCACACACAATATACCCTTTTCCAAGACTGAATACCATTGAGATATTATGATTAATGACAAAAGTCATCTAATCATTGCAATGTTTGGGTATGTGTAGAACAGTTAACTGCAGATTTATGAAGCAGGATGCATGCTACAATTAATGAAGGAGTCACAGCACAAAAGTATTACAGAAATGAGAATGGCATTTGTGTAACCTATGTTTTATTCCCTGCAAAGTTTTGTAGTCTTAGAAAGTCATTGCTCATTTTCAAAAATCTCGTTGGAAGTACAACTCAAAGGAACCAAATGTGAGCTTCAAAACAGTGAATCCAGTCCTAGCAGAAGGAAAGTATAAACAGATACTGTTAGGATTACTTACCCACTATTTCTTCCCTGAATTATGCTCTCCTTATAAGTAGTCAGGATTGTGGCTGTGATAATAATGACATTCAAGGAATGTTTTAGTCATGAGCCAAATTGTGTCCTTATGTCAGTGATAATTTCAAGTCATTCAGCTGTCAGACCAAATGTGGTTCTGTGACTGCATGAGCCTAGAAATGAATCACAGGCCTGATTTGAATAAGTAGTAAAACTTCCATATGGCTGCAGCTTCATTGAAATGTTTCAGTTGGATTTGAAATAAATAGCATGGATTAAAACTGGATGCTTCTTAGATCAATTAGTTCAGTTTAATGCCTTTTTGTGCAGCAGTTTTCTTGCCAGATAGGGTTTCCAGCTACTGGTTTGTGTTCTGTTACTGAAACACAAGGCTAAGTGTTGAAATGTTTCTAATGATGCTAGAAACTTATTTCTCCCATGGAAATAAGCAGTTGTGCCCAATTCTTAATGGAGACTTTCCTTCTCAGAATGTTTTTCAGAGGTAGCGTTCAGCTGTGTGATCCAGTTTCACTCTTTGGAACTTACCTATGGAGGTTTGAGGGGAAAGTGGCTAGTTCTAGATATGTCAGCATTTCAGAAGTATTTTTCTGAATACAGGTAATTGAAACCATCCTTCTGTACAACAATTCCAGTATTGATCTTGGAGTGCATGCATACCATGTTGTAGTTTTGCCAGCTAGATGAGTGATGCTTTCATATTTAATAAAAATCTTTATGTTGTTTTGTCATCAACAACAAAACAGCCTCTTTAATTTCATCCCTCTCTTCCCAGGTCAGTTCTGTGTGGTCATCTTCTACTTTATGAGGAGATTCTGAAAAAAGGATATACTGAACTGTGGAGTGCAAAGCAATTGTTTGTTGACTAATAGTCACAATAGACAGCTAGGACTGGTAAAAAACAAACAAACAAAGGATGTAATATTGCCTCTGTCTCTACTAGGTTTTCAATTCCAAAATGCTTACCAGTCTGATGGGAAAGGATTGATTCCTGTTGCTTTTCTATAGTGAAGAGCTTCTTGGTGATATAATTACTTCCTTCCAGTTCTCCATTTAATCATAGAATCAGATAAAGGTTTAGATTGGACCTTAAAGCTCATGTAGTTTCAGTCTCCTGCCATGGACAGAGTTGTCACCCAGTAGATCAGGTTGCTTAGGCCACAATCCAACCTGACCTGGAACATTCCCAGGTACGGTGCATCCACAATCTCTTTTGGCAAGAAATTCTAGCACTGCTCTGCCCTCTGAGTAAAGAACTTCTTCCTCTTTTCTCATCTTAATCTACCCTCTTTCAACTTGAAGCCATTACTTCTTGTCCTGTTACTAAACTCACTGATGAAAAGATCATAGGGACTCTCTCTGTCAGAGAGAGAATAATAAATCTCTTGATTTATTGAGCTACTAAGTATTGCCTTTTTGTCAATTATGTATGTATATTTACTTTTATTTTCAATAAAAATTCAAAAAGAGTCTTGACAGATTGATGGTCAGCGTATCCTTCAATGGGTTCTAGTTAGGGATCCTCTAACGTCGGTTTTGGGTACTGGAGGTGCATGGGAAAGATGAATCATAAGAAACGGCCAGGCTTACATGTCTTCACTAAATAGCCTGACCATGACAAATATACTGAGCTAGATGGACTGTTGCTCTGAGTCATTCAGATATTTATTATGGTCAGCATTGTAGATATTTTGAATTTGTTGACTTCTGATGTCTTCTGTCTCTTGTGATTTTCCTTGGACTGAAATACTAAAAACACTACTTGAACGAAGTTTGAAAACAAAAATATTTTGCTTTGCCCTAGCCACCATCCCTGTTTTGCTCCTGCCTCTTTGAGTAAATAAGTATTTTACAACGAAAGGAAAAGAAAGAACAAAATATACTGAGTTGTCCTTCTCAAATTGCTTCTTAATGGCTACATTGAGGTGGTGGGAGTAGCAGATGAGATTTGAAAGCTTGCTTGGGAATTTGACTATATGACCTGCAGAGTTCTCTTCCAGCCATTATGATTTTGTGCTTCTATTGATAGAACTTTATCTTAAAAGGAAAGAGAAAAAGCAGTTTGAGGTAGCAGAAAAGCTGCAGTCCCTTTGACTAAGAGACATCTGGATTTTTGAAGTGCTGAATAATGAGAAAGGAAGTCACTTCCCTTCAAAGAGATGGATAAGTTACACTGAAGTCTTTTAGGAAGGTGGGAGCAGTCTACTTGATTCACTGAACAGAAAGAGAGCCACTGACACAACTAATTTGGTGTCCCAAATTTTATTTCCTTGACTTTTGTTACAGACAAAATTTCTTTCCTCTAAAAAATAAATGTGTAAAACATAGTGAAATGATTTGCACTGACATTTCAAAAGTTGCCTTTCAAAATAAAAATGTTACCTTGAAGGAAAACTGTCATCAATTTTATATCAGGATTGTTCTCTTATCTGTTGACTTGTAAATATAATTAAAACTAAAGAATAAGTTCTTTCCATACACTCTCACCTGATTGTATGCAACTAAATCTGTGGAAACCTAGGGCTGCAGCTGGTGTAGTTTATAATGAAGCAATAAATTTAGCACTTGTATCACCTTTACTGAGATTGGCAAAAACTTAAATTACTTCTAACCTTAATTCTTTAATTATCATCCTTACTATCATTGCCTGCAATTGAAATGTGGATATCTATTATAAGACAAACAACAACTTGGTATAGAAAGCTTAAACCTACTACCCAGTATTAAATCAATGCTAGGTTCACCAGGAGGTTACAATACATTCCTTCAGCCTGCACAATCGAGCTACCTTATTACTTTATTAAACAGCATTAGTGGTCGTAATAAGTCCTGCTGAAAAGCAGACAGGTATCCGTTACTTTTATGTTTGAAGTCTTTATTGGATAAAAAGGCTTTGCTGAGTTACGTTTTATGGGAAGCTGAGCTACTGGCAAATTTAAAGTGTCTTTTATTTTGGTGCAATAATTAGTTGCTTTCCTTCTGAATCACAGTTGTAATTCTCTGCTGGTTCACACTCATTTCACTGCAGCCTGAACCAGGGCCCAGTTAACTCAGGGAAAACCCTTAAATTAACATCAGTGAACTTTGGATCAAGCTCCTAATGAATGACTTAGTCACTTTAAAGATCTCCCTTAGCTTTAATTCTATCTCACTGACTTCATTTATAGGTTTTCTTGACTTAATCTGTCTTGACACTTAGAAAGCATTTGCTACTGCAGGGTATAAAACAACTAAATGTTTCATTTTCTCATACTGTCAATTATTGGGACTTTTAGGAGCTTCTATATATATGCTTTTGTTCTCAAACTGTTTATTATGACCACTGTGCTTTAACGCATGAGTAAGATACAGGTCTTCTACACATAATACCTGTGTTTTTCTTCTGTGGTGTATTCAGTAATGCAATTTTTCAGTAGATCTGAGAATGAAATACATGTTTTTTTAAAAGCTCAATTTTATTGACTATTACAGAACTTATATTTAAAGGATTTCTATTATAATTATCCTTTTGCATTTTTAAAATACATAGTCAAATTAGAAATATTGAAGAGAAGATATTTATGTGTATCTTAAATCTATTATTTCACAGTATATGTGAGTATCTGTATATATTTTCACAATTTAGAAGCAAGGAATCATAAAAATAAATCTTATTTCTTAAAATCCTAATTCTTTTGTGGAACCAAGCCTGTACTCCAGGAAGCAGTTTCTGGACTCCAACAGATGGTAGTGGGCTCTCATGGCTATTAATTGCATACTACACTATTTTTTTTATCTTTCTGCTTTGTTCCTAGGCGAAATGTCAACCAAAGTACCAAACGTTAAACTGAAAATTGATCCTCAGGACCTGCAGATCCAGACTTTCACAGTAGAGAAATTACTGGAACCACTTATAATTCAGGTATTTTAACATTGCAGAAAAGAAGTTAGATAGACATATAGAGAAATGAATGAGGTTGAAGAGCTTAGGCTAAGGACACTGTTGTGAAACCCACGACTCTTCTGAAACTGGCCTGGGAATTGTGCAGAGAACATATTCCAGCTTTAGTAATTTCTGAAGTCACTTCCTTTGCAAACAACATTGTATGGGATAGTAACTGTTGCATGTTTTAGCTAGTCTTTTGCACAGTGTTATCCATAGGCTAACAGTTCAAATCATGAAAAATTTCATATTGCAAATAGTGGATGGAGCCTTGAAATCTGTAGGTGAGTTTCTTTATGTGAATTCTGGGGGGGAAAAAAAACCCAAAAACTATTCTGTTTTATTTTAGAAGAGATTCCCTAAGGGCTGCATAATTGCTGTGTACTGCATAAACATATCTTAGCACTTTTCCTTCCAACTGAAGAAAATTTGAACTGGGTGATTTGCAGGTTTATTTATGAAACTTTCATTTTAGGAGCAGTTCTGCATTCTTGAGTTTTATTTGAAGTATTCACCAGTTCAATACGCTGTGCTTAAACAGAGAATCTTTAACAGACTGTGTGTATATCTTTTATGGATTAGAAATCTTTTATTTTTTTATCCAGTGCAATGGCCTACTTGCAGAAGGCTTGACATGATTCTGCAAATACTGTGGGTAACTAAGTGTGTTAAAGGACCTCTACAGAAATATATTATGTGAAAAAGAACACAAAGTGCATCTTGTATTTTAAATCTCAATCTCTTTGAATACTCCCTTCATTTTATTTAGTAATGTGCAAATACCTGTTTTTATTTAGTCAATTGCATGTATCACAAGGTTGTCTGTCTATGAGTGTCCTTCAGCCTTGTCAAGATGCTGCATTTCCTGTTGCTGCTGTACACTGCTTCTTAACTATTCTTTGTCTGATGCCTGGGGATATGTTTACATGGCAGTCATTGCTCTGGCTGCAGTTTGTGTAGGTACAATGAGCTCCAACTTCACATGCAGAAATTTTAGACGTTTGCTAATATGCAGAGAATACTTTGGCCAACTTTACAATCTGAAAAATGGTAGGTATAATGGCTTTGAATTAGCTTCTGTGATTTGGTTAATATCTTTTCAAATTCATTAGGTAATGCATGTTACAAGAGAATAACTTTTTGTTAAGTAGTGTATGTTAATAAACAGCAAACAAAAATGTAACTGGGAAAATGGTTAGGTAAACAGAACATAACCAGGCTGAAAATGCAGTATTCTGGCCATTATTTTGTTTATAGACATGCAACAATTGGGAATTTACAGCTTATTTTAAAAGCAAAACCAAAATGAAACAACAAACATTTAAACGTACAAAAAAGTTACATAGTTTTCTATTATTTCCATTTTATTATAACTGCAATTTCTCTATTAAAATAAATAAAACTATCATTTTAATTAAAACCACAACTGCTATTGTTGTACTTGAATAGATGCTAAAGGAAAAATATATATTTTTCCCTCCCATGGGTCATTAATTGGCATCTTTTGACTGTGTCAGCTTTGGCTTATGGTAAATTTTGTTTCTCCAGGAATGCACTCCTTTTTACACACTGCTCTGTTTGTGTTTTTCATTCTTTGTTCTGGGAGCCAGTTCTCTGCAGACTTGTTATCTGGGCTTGCCAAGGAGTTGTGACCAGATACAAAGGAGCTGTCAGATTATATCTAAAAAGGCAGCGCATGATATGAGTGGAGAGAAAATGAACACAGCAATGAAAGATGAGAACTAGAGAATGCCAAATATGTTTGGTGTGATGACGCTTACATATATTTGCATTTTCATGTCAAATTAGTCATTTCTGTTAGAAGTCCCCTATATGGTCTAAAACCTAAGAAAACATGTACTGATAATGTGTTATAACAGATATTCTTTGAAAAAATGGCTTTAAAATCTATTTAGGTGACGTAAGTTTATCTTTAATGAATTTATAATGAAGCTATATTTCCCCCCTTTGAAAATTTGTCTTTGCTGATTTCATCCATCCAGAATTTTATTTATTTAATTATTTGATTGGGTGATCATTTTGGAAATATTTTTTAATTGATCTTTTCTGTCTTTATCTATTTGTTCCTGCTAGAAAATTCTCTTTTTCTGAAAGAGATCTTTTTATTATTATCTTGATTTAAGCTTTTATTAACTAAGCTACTTGTCACTTCCTTTACCTTCCCTTTATGACGTATTTGTTTCTGCATGGTATGATTGATGACATATAAAACTTCAGTAACAGCTCAGTGCTTTGTGGGAAGTTGCCAAAATCCACCATTGTATGAAATCGGTTTCAGAGTGGTAGGCTGGGATGGGTTTAGTCTGCATTCTGCAGGTCAGCTTATGCTACAGCAGTGGGCATTTTTGAAAGAGGTGAAATGTAAATTTTGGCCTGAGTCTTACTGGATCAAAGAAACCCAATAAAACAAGCTATCCAATACGTTTTAAAAAAATCTGAAATATTGATTAAAAAGCTGTTAAAAATGGAGGCTTCTTCAGCTCAAAGAGAATATGATTTTGACTTTTTTATACTCAACCCCCTTTGTTATATAATAGAGCTGTTTTGTAACAGAACTCTGAAAGACAAACTTGCATTTTAGAAGGCCGAGGAAGCACAAAAAAAAAAAAATTGAAAAAGCAAAAGCAGAGATTGAAAGTGAATATTAATTGAAGGATGATTAAGATGTTGGACAGGCAATAAATGGAAACTGATCTGCAGTTAGAAAGGCAATCTTAGCAGTTATAGATAATAGGACTGCTCTACCTGATTCACTTAGCTGCTGCTTTGAACATAATTTAACTTCATTTTGAGATGTATGTTCTAATGTACTGAGTAGCCTTTAAGGACTATAGGAGCATTTATGTGTATTTGTGATTCTCTGAAGTCTGTACTGGCCAGTTACATTAAGACTTAAGACAGTATTTGGTTAATGGCATTAGTATGAAAGGAAACTTAAAAAAAAAACAGGCAGCCTGTGCAGAAGTCATTTTGGAAGTGACATTGCTAGATTCCCTCTCTCTTTGCTGCAATTTGCAGTTGACAGTGGTGATCGCTTTGAGACTGAAAATAGCACAACCCATTGTTTTACATACAGCCGTCTAACTTGATAACTTCTCCCTTCAAAATGAAGCCATATCCTTAAATAATGATGTCTAGAGGATTGCAGGACTGCCAGTATTGCTGCATCTCTCTCTTGGCATCCCAAGAAGTGACCTGTCCTAAGGCAGTGTGTTAAAATATTGCTGTGCAGGGCTCTGCAGAGCGAGGAACTCACATGTGGAAGGTGGCAGAACCGTGTTAGTGTGACTAGCATTATACTCCTGTACTGTACTCTCATGGTGACATACTGCTTGTTGCTCTGTGTCATCAGAGTAATGGGAAAATTTTTCTTTAATCCTTCTCAACCCTCTGCCCCCATGCAAACAAACACTAGAAGGGATTGTCTTTGTTCATGGCTTTTATTTTATTCCAGGTGTTTTGGGAAAAGTATGTTTGAAAGAAAGGCTTTTAGGTATAATTCCCTATCATAGAATCTATGATTCCATGATCAAGGTTTTCTGGTAGATACATCTGACACATTAAAAGTGAGTATTGTCAAAGTTGCTACCATTCTGCTGAGAGCTGCTCTGTTGAAGGTTGGGAACATGGTTAGACAGTCTTTCTGTAATTCTGGGCTCTTATCAGAGATGCTTTCTGTTGTGGAACAAGTCGTGTGAGGCAATCATTTGGTCATCTGGTTTTTTCATTTGCCTAGCTGATTTCTATTGGCATGCTAGTGCAATGTTTACTCATAAAATAGCTAATGTCATAGAAAAGTATTCCCTTCTTTATCTCATTCTCAGAGACCAAAGCTTGCTGAATCTTTTTGCTAATTATACTAAGAATAACATTTAAGATTAGATATAAATTTGCTTCTGTAGTGTTGTTGTTTAACCCTGCAGGCAGCTCAACACCACACAGCTGCTCACCCACTCTTCCCAAGTGGGATGAGGGAGAGAATCCTAGAGATAAAAGAGAAGTCATGGATTGAAAGAAAGACTGTTTGCTACATGATCTAAAAACTGTGTGTGCAAGTGAAACAAAACAAGGATTTGTTCGTTCATTCCCATCAGCAGGCAGATTTTCAGACACTTTTAAAACAGAAGGGACAAATAACAACGTAATATTTTCTTTGGAAGACAAATGCCTACACTTTGTCTTCCACTTCCTCCTCCTTTACCCCAGGTTTTATTGTTAGGTGTGACACCACATGGTATGGGACAGACATACTTTTGGCCAGCTGGGGTCAGTTGTCCTGACTGTGTCCCCACTCAGCTTCTTGTGCGCTCCGACCTTGTCTCTGGCAGGGCAGCATGAGAAGTAGAACAGTCCTTGGCTCTGTGTATGCACTGCTCTGCAACAACTAGAACAGTCAATGTGTTAGTTTCACAGAAAATCCAAAGCACAACATTGTACGAGCCTCTGTGAAGAAATTTAACTCTACCTCAGCCCCAACAAGGGGAAAGTGGTGCTAGACATTGTCCCTTTTGAATTTACATTAATTAACATTTAAGAAAAATGTGACTGGATGAGATTAACATCACTTCATTAGTTCACAAACGAAACACTTCTGACTGCTTTTATTCTGTGATCTATGCAAGCCCTGTTAGATGCAGATTAGCCACTTATTTGGAGACTGTGTCTGAAGTTCTGTGCTGTCTCTTTATTTGTATATATGCGCACAGTTAATATATGTGTGTACATGTATACTTCTCAAATATTTCAGAGTTTTTCCTTACCAGGCATCATTTCTTCCATACATTTATATTCTTTGCACGCATACAGGCTATGGAAATTTTATGGCTGTGAGAGAGAATTGAATTTTACACAATACTTACGAATGCATGTGTTTTAGGATTTCTTTTATTATATTACCTATGGAAAATGAGAAAGTAGAAAGGCTTTTATTTATTCCCATGTCGCTCACACTGACAAAACTTTGCTCACATGGAAATGATTCACTGCTGTTTTTAGTTCTATATGGTGAATTTACTTTATGCATAGTGCAAGTGATTAAGCAGTATTTATTTTTATGGGCAACGCTTTGTTATTCCCAAACATCTGACTCAGACAAGGGGTGGTTAGGATTTGAAAGACTGGGGAGGTACTTCTGTCATTGTCATTAGATTGCTGAGTTCATATATTGTTTCTTCACATGTCTTAGGGTTGCAGTTACTTAACTAAATGCTTTTTCAGCAGTTATAAACTGTTTTGTGATTGATGCTTTTAATTTTTTTTTTTTTTAATAAACAAAATTTTCATACTGAAGATATGAAAATACCATTTTCTTTAACTACTGCAGTGTTAATAGATTGTCTTTTGAAGATTGGTCTGGTTCTGAATATAGCATTAGTAGAATTACTGCACAGTGCTCTAGGAATTCAGTATTTGTAAATCATGACAAAAACAAAAAACAAAGCAATTCTACAAGCCTAATAAATAATGGTAATAACTGACAACAACAGATTTGCCACTGTAATGGCATATAATCTTGAAAATCTCACTTTCAAAACTTTGGCTTTATAGTAATTCTCCTCCTAAACATCTTAAGTATTGTAAAATATGGTGTTGATTTCCACTGAATGCTGGGGAGTAGCTGTGTCCAATACGGCAATAACCACGTGTGGCAACATAAAAGTAACTGAAATGCAATTAGGCATGAGCTAGATTAATGGGGTGTGTTTCTCTGTCTCTCTGTCTCTCTCTCTCTCTTTTTTTTTTTTTTTTTTAATTATTCTGAGCCTGATAATGCTGTCGTTTTAACTGGGTATTCTGTCACTATTTTGCAACTGTATTGACAGTGGATCAAAAAAGCATACTATTTATTGCTGCTTAATTCAGTTCTTTGCATAGGATCATCATTACGGTTTTGTATTCCTCACTGGGATTTTGTGTTGGAAAATGAAGCTGTTCTTCTGCATCCATTAACTTACTTAAGCCAAGAGGTACTTAGCAAATTTTGACTTGTTTTTAAGATCAAAAGCTGACTCTATTAAGTGACGTTGGTCCCTTTTCTATAGAAATTATACTTTTGGAATTTCCTGGCAGTAATGCTGATGATCAAATGTCTTAGAATTATGAGTTTTCAACTGCAGTAAAGATTATTTTTCTTATTTTTACATTTGTTTCCTTTCTTCTTCCTCAAATATGTATGAGTAAGCAATACGGATATTTTACATTAAAATGAACTTACATTAAAACTCGGAAAAACAAATTGCTAAGATATCTATAAGGCTTCTTAATATTTTTTTTTGTGACAGCTTCATTTTTAAAGTTGTGTTCTGACTTCCTTGTATCAATTTATAATCTCTTCAGATATTTCTTAAAATATTACTCACGCTTCATTAAATGCTCTAGAGATAATATTGTAGGATTTTTTTTTTTTTTAGAAGATATTTAAATTCCTAATATGTTCTCTAGATAGCTGGCTGGTGCATAAATATTTTTACTTTCCTTCCTGGCTTATCAGAATACCAAAATCCTTTTTAACAATCTGATTCTGAGCTATCTATATTGATGCCCTCCTTACGACATCCCATGGCTGTTGGTGTTAAGTGGCTGGTCTTAGTATTCTGACCCCAAATTCCACATAAATGACATAAGGGTCAAGACTTATTTTCTTTAAATGATGGATAGGCTTACAGAAATGCTTTCCAGAGGATGTTTCTTATTTACTTCAAAAGTACAGATTCATGAAAGCATGAAAGTGCATGAATTCATGAACACTGGATCTTCTCCTCCTAGATCTGTGAAGAGAGCACTGTTGCACAGATCTGCTCAAACCAATCTCTGCACTGCAGCCGTGAGCTAAACCTGCCTGGTGGTCTGAGAAATTCATACGCAGCTCTAACTTTCCTTGCGCAATGTTGTTGTCAGTTTTCTTACTGCACAAATAAATAGGCTGATTTAACATGTTTGGAATGCTATTTAATAAAATGAAGCAATTCATACTTAGAAAATGAGTTCATTGAGTCCCACAAGTAGGTCTGTGCTTAATTCTACACTGTCTACATTTTGGCACTGAATGGAAGTAGAAGGAGGATTAGTGAACTTACTGGGAAAAAAATTATGTCTTGAGATATTTGTATAACACTTTACTTTAAAAATATTTTAGGAGTGTTCCTGTGTTGCTGACAACTCAAACAATGTCTCAGAGAACAGTCTGCTGCAAAGATTTTGTTGGAATGCAGAGGCTGTGCTCAAATGATGAGGAATGTGGAGTGGGATGCTAAATAAAAATAACTTCTTTATTAATGTTGAAATGCATTGTTAAAAATTCTAATTTAGACAAGGCTGCAGTAATCTACATTCTGTTTAAAACTGTGTGCAACTTTTATGCTGAAAGATCCTTGGAATTCTGATGCATTAAGTTCTGGCCACTGCAGTCCTTGCGTGTAAGATGAGAAAGTATTTTGAAATGTATTTATACTCAATTCAGATATTTGCTTCTGAGATGACCTGAGAGATTTAAGAGGGAAGTGTGGGAAGATGCAGAACTGCTGCCTGCTTGGCTGAAGCCTCCTTAAATAGCATTAGTAATTTTTATATCATGATGAGATTTTTTTTATAATAAGCAGTGTTAGCAGTTTATATCAGGATTAATATGAGAGTGAAATTTCCATTGAGTTTTCTTTGATCTTACAGAGAGAACATATAAATTAGAAATATCAGATTAAGTCTGTCAAATTTAATAATTTTGCACATTCTCACTGTGTGGACTGAACTTGCCTGTCTCTCTTTAAAGCAGGGGAAATTCTATGGTTTATTCTGAACTATGATTTTATTTTGTTAATTTGAAAGCAGCATAAATTAGAATCATAGCATCACTCAGGTTGAAAAAAACCTTAAAGATCACTGAGTCCAACTCAGTGCTACCCTACCTGTAACAAACCTCTGCTAAATCATGTCCATGAGTACCACATCCAAAGGGATTTTAAACACATCCCGGGATGGTGACTCAACCACCTGGGAAGCCTATTCCAGTGCTTTACAACCTTTTCTGTAAAGAAGTTTTTCCTGATATCCAAGTTAAACTTGGCACAACTTGAGGCCATTTCCCGTCCTGCCTTGTCCTGTCACCTGTCAGCAGTGAGAAGAAACCAGCCATATTCTTGATTAGTTACACTGCTGTTCTCTCTTTTATTTTTTAAATGTAGGTTACAACATTAGTGAAATGTCCACAGAATCCTTCTGGTAAGAAAAAGGGACGTTCAAAAAGAGCTCGTGTCTTGTTAGCTTCTGTGGAAGAAGCCACTTGGAATCTATTGGACAAAGGGGAAAAAATTGCCAAGGAAGCAACCGTCTTAAAGGAGGAACTTCATGCAGCATTGGCTGATGTTCAGAAAGAAAGTAAGTGTATTATGTAACAAAGGCACTTAGGAATTAGCTAATTAGCTTACCCATGTAACTTTGTTATGACAAATAAGCTGAGGTACCCATGAGAAATATGTTTTCGTGTGCAAATGTCTGAAATTTATGTTGTCTGATTGTATGCTCTCAGATACCACTGGTAAAGAGGTAAAGCATGCAAGCTGGGGATGTGGAAAAGCACTTATGTTAGGGATAGTATTGCCTTTAAAAAATATATATATGCTTTCTTTTTAATGAAGACAGGATTCCCCTAGCTGATTTTACTGACTATTTAGCACATGTTTAAGATAATGCATGCTTTGTTTCTTTTCTTGGAAAGAGCTGTTTTCCTGAATCTGAGTTTAAGATCTTTTTAGATAGAAATAACAATAAAAAAAAGACTTACTCCCTCTTTTGTGCAATAGTAAGGATTTTGTTTGTGAAGCTACAGTAGGCTTGTTTGGAATTACATTTTGAGTCTTTAGTAGAAGAACAGTGGAAGCTTCAAGCTACTGTAAGACTCATCTTCTGATGTCAGACCAACTCATCTTCTTATGTCAGAGCAGCTCATCTTTGGCCAGTTTTTGCCATGTTCCATTTTCTGATAGCCTGTCTCCTCATTTCCAAACAGGCTCCCAGAGTATTAGTCACATTCTTTTAGGCTATTTGTTGCTCTGTTGATTGTTTGCTCTCTTTATGGATAATCAGAACCTAGTTGGTTGAGTAAGAAGCTCAGGCTCGAATAATTGCATACTGAATGATAGACATCTGAAACAGGTTCCTTTATAAATAAGTCCTGAAAATTAATTCACGAGAAGATTTCTAAGGAAAACCAGGACAGAAGAGTAATGCTCTTAGTGCCTGGTCATTTGGTAAATGTGTGCTCTCATCAGTACTTCATGAATTTTAGAAGTGAGTTGCTCCTGATGATTGCCTGGGTTCAGACTAAGAGGAGCTGATGAAAGCCTTTCCAAATAAATAGCAGCAGACTAAGAGGAATGGTCTGCACCATGAAATTATTGTCATGCCATGCTGTTGAATGAACTTGTAACCATGTTTGGTTTTATCAAGCAGTAGAGGAGACTTCTATTAGTTTTTAGCTAAGCTTTGTAGTGTGTACTGTTACATCATGTGATAATTTGTGCCTGAAGGACTGCATTAGCCATTTGAGTCAGGTCTCTGCCCTTAATAAATCAACAGCTTTGGGTTGTCTTTTCTTTTGTATTTTGTCTTCCTTCATTTGCAGCTGGGACGATTTCTGAGTGCCTGCAGTTGTTCAGAGTAGTCATTACTAGCTATTGGATTCTTCTGGATCCAACAAGGGCTGCATTTTAGAGTCTGTATATGCATATAATGTCTGAGATAACTTAAGGTACTTTGAGATTAAAGGCATTACAGCCAGCAAATGTCATTGTTATCTGTCATATTGATCAGTTCAGCTTTTGAAAAATCAGCCATTTTGGATTAGTCTTAAAATGTTAGTCCATCCAGTCCAGATCGATAACACAAGACAAGAAAAAAAATATATAGTTTTCTATTGATTTTTATACATAGATTATGTAAAAATATTTCACATCTTCAATTTATGTATTGATTCTCATCCAGGACTAGGGATGACTACAGAAATAAATAATATATAAAGTAGATTATATACAGTGCATACATTTTAAAAGAAAGTTAAATCAATGTTATTACCTATCATTATGCAATGACAAATTGTGAACTTGCAGCCCATTTTCCTCCATGGATTTGCTGAGCTGCTCAAGTTAATTTTAAAAAGTTGGTGAACAATCACAGGGTAAATTTTAATATTTGTTGATTTTACATGTATTTATAGTCTTTTGGGGCTGTATTATTTTTAATTTGTGATGTACCCCACCACATGTAATTTTGTTTGTTGCTGTAGTTGCATTCTGCTGCTGTTAAATGTCTCTTGTTGCTTTAAGGTCTTTGAGAAGGTCTGGACCATAAATTCTGATAAATCGTGTTTGCAGGCAGTCACGTGCCATTCATATTATAGCATTCAGTATTTAATTTTCTCTGCTCAAATTTTTCTGTGGTAACTGGCCGGTATTCTTATTCATATGCTTTAAAACGAGTTACAAATTTTTACACATTGGCCACAGTTTATATTTAATGTAGACTGGAATTCTGAAACAATCCCCTAGGTAATTGCACTCAGATGTGAACCAAACTATGAGTTCCAGAGCTGCAGACCAATGTCTGGAAAAAATAATGTAAAATCTTTTCTCATGTTTTTATCATATATTGCTGCTCACTGAGCTTAATTAGGAGACTATGACATTAGAATTAAATGCATAGTACTTTGAAACAGTTATGGCCAGTGTGAAATGATTCAGTATTCATTATTGAATGCTGGTCAGTATTCAAGGACCATCTTCTTCAAGCCCAGAATTAGTGCACCCCAAGAAAAAGAAGGCAGGCAAGAATGCTTGGAGGCCTGTGTGGATAAACAGGTTGCTCCTGGACTTAAGCATGAAAAGAAAGTCTATAGGGTATGAAATCAGGAGCAGGTTACCTGGGAGGATTGCAGATGCTGCTGATGGACTGTGTGCATTGTGTGGAAATCCAGTAGCCTCATAGCTGACAGGTTTTCCTGGTAATCTGATTTGGTCTGGCATTGCTAAAGAGCACTTTTTTCCCCATTTTTATTCAAAAATAGTGTATTAAATCTATAAGTAATTGGAAAAAAAAGTCTCACTGCCTGCCTTCATGTATACAGCATAACAATAAACTGCCTTCTATTCATACTGTTATAAATTGTAAAATAACTGACCTTTATGCAAGGGATTAAGAAACATTTAGACATGAACACTTCTGATATTAAGCATCAAACTATAATTAATGTCCTAATTCTAATTCTTAAGTAATTTTGAGACAAAATAGTGATGTAGTTTATATGGGGAAACATTATCTTAAAGTCCAGAGTTTAACATGTCACTTCCTGTTGGTATAATTCATATCAAGGTGTGATGAGATTGAATCATAGTTTTCAAGCAATAGTACAGGCCTAGCAAAAATGTTTGGTATTAATCATTATTACTTGCTTACCATACTTGGTCAGAAACAAAACAGTTGCTGCCTATGTTGCTTCTATCTATTGCAGTGTCAATCTTGCATGCATTTAGTTGTTATCATGTCTCAAGTGTGTTCCTAGATAAACCTTACGTCACAGATAACATAGTGAAAGCATGCTACTTGCTGGAGTTACATTCTGAGCTTTCCCTTACCCTCAAAGAATAAATAATTAAAAAAGACAGAAACCCAAAACGATGCCAACAAAAACAAAAAAGAACAGCAAAAAAGCCCACTTTCAAATGTTCATATTTAATGTGTTGAGAGCAAAAGACAGGGAAAACTGGCATAGAATAAATGTCATTATTCACGTAAGAAAAAAAATGGAGAGGACAAAATGAGGATATTTACTAAGGAAGGGGGATAGTGCTGATTTGCATTTTTATTCTTCTCCAGAAAATCTGTTAAAAATCAGCTTTGTTTTCTCATCCTACATTGATGTACGCATGTGTACTTTGCAGCTTATTCTAGGAGGAAGAATTCAGATACAAAGGCTTGGGATCACCTGTTTTGCCAAGAACAGATCCCATGCAGAAGAGCTTTGGGTGTATCTATAACTGGCTCAGATGTCCCTAAGTGTGAAAACGGGAATTAAGAGTCTGGACATGATGCATGTTGGGGGTGTATGTGGTGGCTCTGATTACGCATTAGGAACAGCAGTATGAAACGTGGAAGTAGAACTTCCTGGTATGTGGCAGTAAAATAATTGCAGTGCAACAAAATACAATGGTATCTGAGCTGAATAACAGACTCTGTGGCAGGAGAAAAATGTCCTGTAACATCTGCTCTAGGATATTGCGACAAGTTGCCTTATAATGGTATTGTATATTAAGAACATGCAGGAGATATCTATCGGCCTTGCTTTCACACCGATAATGCCAACTCCAGCTGGCTAACTATAGCAGATAAAAATGATACTTGTGGTAGAAGAACAGGTGATCATACTAACGACTAGTGTTTTTTCATCTTTTGTTTTTAGAAAGTATAGGCTTGTTCTGATGTGAACTGACTCCCAGTCTCCTCTGGTCCTAGTTCTGCTTATGTCAGTAATGGAACTTAAGGCTTAGAAATAGCAACCATTGGTATAAATCACTGATTTTTTTTCTTGAGTTTGAGGCTAGAACTCCTAAATGATACAATGGCTATCAAAGTGATTGTAAACACATTATTACTGAAAGTCTTGCTGATACACAGACAACACCAGTCACACGGTTATTTGCTCTTCTGATAGTGGTAGCCAGAAGATTAATTCCTGCCTTAGATGTAGCTGACAGTAATTCATATTTATGATCCTTGAAGACATGGTAATTACACGTGTGTTGCACAGGAAAAAAAAATACCTTTGGTAGTGTTGTTTAAACAACAGCAACACAAAATCACAACTAAACAATAAAAGAAACCAAAAAAATTACTCTACTGTTACTGAACAAAACACCAGCCTGAAAGATAACTCCTGAAGACCAGTGTGGGATTACAAAGCAAGCATTACCTCATGATGGTGCTGGATGCAGGAGGGAATCACTCCATGTAGTTATGCATGCCTGGAACAAAAAGTCTTCAGATTATAAACATTTTACTCAATATATGTAAAATTGCATAAACATTACTGATCTGTTGCTACGAACTGTTTGGTACAGTCTGATTGGATTAAGGCCAGTTGGTGTGTTTTGTTTGAATATACATTTCATTGGCAAATCTAATGTTCATGTTTAGTTGCTCTTCCCTATGTGTGTGCTGACTTAGTTCCTTGTGATTTACCACCATTACTACTCAAAATGCTGTGAAATGTGGATAGCATTAGACATATTATAAAGTGTACCACAAGATAAGATGTAGATATGAAAAGATGTAAAAATATACTTTGTGACATATTGGTATAATCTTTATGCTATCAAAACCATGTTTAAGTCACTTCCTGCATATCTAAGAATGCACTTTGATGCTTGGTGTGCTGTTTACCCCAAGGAAGACCAGGAGATTTGAAATCCTCTCTTTTTAGAGGGAGCTCCAGTGGCTCCCTCTCTCTCAGTCAGTGGGCTCCCTTTCACAAATGTTTCTTTTGGACTGTAAGTCCATCAGCCTTAAAGGTGAGATTTAGGAAAGAGCAACAGGACTTTCCTTGCAACAATACCTCCTTGTGGGAGAACACAAGAATTGACAACAAAGTCATTCCACGTGGATTTCATACTGCTGCAAATGAAATGAGAAAGACAGATGTAACAACATACAGAAAACAAGAATGTGATTCTTAGATAGGATTAAATAGAAGAAAGAAAATCAATTCAAAGAAATGAAAGAAGAAAGCAATACTCTGATTGTCTTGTCTAAAACATGGAAAAACATTTAGCTGTTGCTGGATTATGATCTGGATCACTGTCTGAGGAGAGTGCTCACTAACTGCAGTAAATGGTATTACTGCAACTATCTGTACAGGCAGCCTACCATCAGCAAGCAGCCCAGCAGGTCTGTGTGCCCTTGTCAGCTATTTGCCAACAGAATACTTGCCAACAGGCTCATGACTGACTTATTTTTAAAAGTATTTTCAGGTAATTTTTTTATATTTTTGGTGCTAGAGAGAAGTGTGTGGGTATCCTTAACTTAAAAAAAAAAAAATTACCCGTGGCTGAGCTGTATTTTCACTTTTCTCTTTGAGCGTGCTTATTTATTTACTTATGGCAAGCAAATCTACATAACAGCAATCATTTGACAGCAGCAGCAGTACTTGATCAGCTAACGGTAGTAACACCATTTACTTCGCTATCTCGCTGTGTGTACTGAAATGTGCCTTGGAGTTATGTGTCTTCCATTAATTATATTATTTAAGATATATCCTGACTTTATTTCTTTTAATTGCTTTTCACTTCAATGCCTGAAATAGCTGAAATATGATGGATATGCTCATCTTCTGCTTCCGTATTTATGCCACTGAATTAGTACTCTGTGTTTCATTGTTTTTGACAAATATAATTAAGGGAGAAATCTGCCTGATGGGATTTACAATAAAATTGATTAGATTGCATCAGTGTCATGCCTGTCGACAGCACTTGAAGAATGTTCTCACATTATATTGGTGTTGGAGATGTCATTTCCTGCTGCTTATATACTTGTAGCTCCTTTCTTCCTAGACTGCAATCACAGTTGTATTTTGGAGTCATGGTCCTATGGCCATCAGATATTTGTTCATTCAAATGAACTCAGGCAATGGCCAGCTTGTTCCTAGGGGGTTCATGTTTCAGACCCTTCTGACTTTGCTTCACACTGTCAGTGGAGTCTCTGTTTGTCAGTGGAGAATTAGATTCAACGAATAGATTCAATAAATAAAGTTTCACATGATTGACGCCACTCTATTTCAGACTTGGCTGGAGTAATTCTGTTGTTCAGATATTGTATTGCAGATGTCTCTGTAGCCTAACTCTGACTCACACCTGTGTGGTGGAAAATGAAGAAATGTCTGTGGAATGAATTATAAGCCTTACGCCGTATTCTTTAGGAGTCCCATGCAGGCCAAAATACTAATTCACTAAGCAGTTGCGCACTGTAGGATACCTTTGCTTCCAAGCTGAGAGTAACAAAATTCAGGCAAATTGGCACATCTTGCAAACAGAGCATTATTAAGTTAAAAATATAGCATGTTTTAGATGATTGATCTTTAAGTTTCAACTCTTACTCTCTTTATCCTGAAACAAAATAATGTCTTAGGGACCTCTCCAGTGTATAAAAAATGTTGACATGCTTTCAAACAGAGAAGAGGAGAAGTGGGGAAAAAAAGAACAACCAGTGCTGAGATCCACATTCTCCAGATATGAGACCCTTAGCAGATTTATGCTAACAATATCCAAAGTGTGTTTGGTTTTCTTTTCAATGCAAGTGTTATGGCTAAGAGCGTGGATCCAACTTAATGAACAGGGAGAATGCCTAAGGGAGTCAGAAGGAATATGTCTGAGGAGAAGAGTCTTAAATATTCACTTTCTTGTGCTGCACTCTGGCTTTTCACTTCGTTTGAAATCCTGAGCAATCCCTGGAGTATTCAGTAAGAGCTGGATATTGATGGCTGAAAGTTTGTCTATATTGTTCTAAGCTTATTGAAAGACTTGGATGTTGGGACAGCAGAAGTGGGGCTTGTGTGCATAGACTTAATTTAATCATTAACTTTATTGCTACTTACTAGTAATGGTTTTATTTTTAAAGTACATATAATTGGGTAAATACTCAGTTTAAAGGAGAGGAGGAGATGGTAGTAGGGAATTTTGGCTCTTATAATGCTATTAGAGCAGTTTAAAGCCAAGATCTTTGGATGACTGTGTGGGATTTTTTTCAGTGACTGAATGCTGATAGGAATACAATGTCCGTTTAAATCTAGTTTTTAAAATTTAATGCTAGAAAGCAGTATTTATTATCTATTTGCACAGTTGCTAGCTTATCTGCATAGATTTTATTTGTTAGATGTTTGAGTGTATGAGATTTTCATTCTATTAACTTTTATTCATAATGAGAAAAGTAATATTTGATTCTCTTCTGTGTCCATGAATTACTTAACATTAAGTACCAAATAATATAAAAAGCAGTGACTAGAAAAGTTTAACTTAGAGCCTCTGATTTTCTGGTGTATAGTTAAGAGTAATTATGTGATTGCCAAAGGAACTGTTTAAGAATTAAATGACTCAAAACAGAAAAGAAATAGCATTCAAAATGCAGAATATTCTGCATCAGTAATAGATCTCCAAAGCATTAGGGCAACAAAAGCACACTAGATTTTTTGGTAATACCTGTGACTTGCCAGATAGCTGACAAAATTTTAACTGTTTCTTCTTGAGTATTGCAATATAGCCTAAATGAATTTGTCTTCATTTTACAGGTCAAGCTCTAAAGATATCAGCAGAGGCTTTTACCAGTGATCCCTGCTATTTGCCTAAGAGGCAGGCAGTTGTTCAAACAGCACGATCTCTCCTTACAGCTGTTACACGGCTTCTTATTCTGGCAGACATGGTTGATGTGGCATACTTACTGGAACATTTAACTGTGGTAAGTAAATTTTGACTTAACTCAGACTCCCTTTGGCCAGAAAAGGCTTTTTTTTTTGTGTGTGTGTGTGTATGTGTGTGTGTGTGCGTGTGTACACGTAATAACCTGGCAACTAGTGAAGGTGCTGATTTGTAGAAAATTAAAAAAATAAAAGTGCCCTACATCTAACTTAGCAGATAGTTATCCATAAAATTATATTTTAAGTTCCTTTTTCTTTATCTCCTGTTTATGTATGAAGCCTTCTTGATATTTGTGTGCATGACAGTTGATCTCTAGAGAACTTTGAAGGTGGAATTTTATGTGGGTATACTGGGAGGGAAGGGACCAAGCAGGTAAAGGTCTCTTTGTGTTCAACTTAGTTTGAAAAAGACAAGCTACAAGGAGAGGGAGGGAGGTGTGTTAGAAAGGTCCCTGATAGCTCCCTGGCTCTAGCTATTTATTCGCAGACTGCAAACAGAAAAGGCTAGAAAGTTCTAATTTTGACATGTCTTTAAAAATTGCACAGTACAAAATGCTTGTTAAAAGCAACATAAAGCTGCATGGCTGTCCAGAATTTGGTTTGTCTTTCACACTGCTGTGGCCACTGCTGAAACAAGCCACCTACCACCCTGTGCTCACATCCACTGTTTGGTGTCCATAAGTGTTCAGCAAACACTGATGGATGTCAATGGGTGCAACTTATTTTGCTTGGAGGAATTCAATGACCTATCTTTGTTATGCACTTCACAGAATCACAGAATTGTAGGGGTTGGAAGGGATCTGAAGATCATTGAGCCCCTGATAAAGCAGGTTCCTTGCAATAGGTTATGCAGGTAAATGTCCAGACAGCTCTTGAATATCTCCATAGAAGGAGACTCCATCATCTCTGGGCAACCTGTTCCAGTACTCCATCACCCTTCTTGTAAAGTAAGTTCTTCCACATGTTTGTATGGAACTTCTTATGTCCAAGTTTTAGGCCATTGCTCCTATGACTATGTACTACTGAGAAGAACTTGGCCTCATCTGTTTGCCTCCCACCTCCCTTTGGATATTTATAAACATTTATCAGATCCCCCTTCAGTCTTCTTTTCACCAGGCTGAAGAGACCCAGGTTACTCAACCTTTCCTCATATGGTGGATGCTCCAGGCCCTTTATCGTCTTTGTGACCCTCTTCTGGACTGCTTCTAGTAGATCCCCATTTTTTTTGAAGTGGGTAGCCCAAAACTGGACACAGTATTCTAAATATCACTTCACCAGGGCAGAGTAGACCCTTGACCTGCTGGCCATGTCCTTTTCAATGCACCCCATTTAGGATACCATTTACCTTCTTGGACACAAGTGCACACTGCAGGCTCATGGCCAGTCTTCTGTCTACCAAAATATCCAGGTCCTTCTCTGTAGTGTTCCTCTCTAGCAGGTCATCCCCTAACCTGTGATGCATGTGGCTGTTCTTCCCCAGGTGCAAGACACTTACACTTGCTCTTGTGAAACATCTTCAGATTCTTCTCTGCCCAACTCTCCAGCCTGTCCAAGTCTTGTTGAATGGCAGCAAAGCCTTCCAGTGCGTCAGTCATTCCTCCCAAGTTTCTATCATCAACAGACTTGCTGAGTGTGGATGCCATTCCTTCAACCAGATTGCTGATGAAGATGTTGAGCAATATGGAAGCTAGCTCTGATCCTGCAGAGCACCACTAGTTATTGGCCTCCAACCAGATTTGTGCCATTGATGACAACCCTGTGAGCTCTGCTAGTCAGCCAATTCTCAATCTACCTCACCATTCACTCACCTATCCTACAATTTCTAAGTTTCATAACAAGGATGTTGTGGGAGACAGTGCTGAAGTCAAGGTATGCAACATTCACTACTCTCTCCCTATCTACCCAGTCAGTGATGACACCATAGAGAGCTATCAGGCTGGTTGGGTATGATTTCCCCTTGTGAATCCATATCAACCACTCCTGATAACCTTCCCTTCCATTTGTTTGGAGATGGCATTCAGAATATTCCATCACCTTTCCAGGGATAGAGGTGAGGCTGACTGGCCTCTAGTTTCTCAGGTCCTCCTTCTAGTACATCTTGAAGACCAGAGTGATGTTGGATATCTTCCAGTCTTGAGGCACCTCCTCCATCCACCAAGACCTCTCAACGATGATAGAGAGTGGCTCAGCAGTAACCTCTACCAGCTCCCTCAGCACACATGAGGGCATCCCTCTGGGGCCTATGGATTTGTGTGTGTTGATTTTTGCTTGACGATCTCTGTTGCTATTTTGTTAGGCTGCAACTCAGTTGCCATCTGTCACATGACAAAAAAATGTAATGGAGTATTGGTGAGAAGGTTCAGCTTTTACTGCCACACCACCAATATCTGCCTCTGATATCATGGGCCAACATAACAAAATAGGAGACTTTACTATCGGAGTAGCTGCTGTATTATAATAATGCTGTATTCAGTCATTTTTTTTCTTCTTTTTCTGTTTCTCGTTGTACGGTAAGGATGCCCATGTTCTTCTTACCGTATAAAACTAACATGCTTGTATTACTATTTCATAATTAAGCAAAATATGTCCATTTCTGTTAAGCAACGTTAGTAAAATTTCCTGCTTACTCAAATTCTTTTGCTGATAACCGTAGTGTCTCGATTGACTTTAATGTTGCCAGCATACTTCTGACTCCCAAAATGTGTCACTGTGTTCCTCTTCTGGCAAGGGCGAGGAATTATTCTCTTCAAGTTTCCTTTTATATTCTAGCATCAAACACACTGATTAAAAAAAATAATAAATCAGGTTCTATTGACTTTAAAATGTTTGGGGAAAAAATTAGCTCCCAATCACAACAGGATTTGTTGCTTCGTACTGCAGTATTTCATAATAAAACAATGTTGTTTGGGTTCCAGTGCTTTATTTGAAACATTCAGCTTTGATAATTGCTGGAGGTGCAGCACAGGATAAAATAAGCACTGACTTGCAGAAAAGTCTATGTTGTTATATGCCAGCTATAGGAAGGTGGCCTGTTTTGTAGTGCTTGTGCAAAAAAAAATCTTAAATTATTGTATTTTAATTGGTAACCTGTTGAATTTTTGCATAAGTATTTTCATTATGTTAGAAGAACTCTTGTAAAATCCTTTCCATGTGTTTTACATAAGAGAATTGTAATTGGGAAGTTTTCTTTCCCACAGTTTCAGTATTTCTAAACAACTCTGTAAAACTCATACCATTATTTTCATTTGAAAATGAAAGCAAATAACTGGAGATCATAGTGAACACAAAGAACCATCAGAGAAACTCCAACAAATCACGCCAAGATGCTTATGTAAAATGACCCTAGTCTTTAGAAGATACATTTTTTTCATGATTATTTAGTCTCTGCACTGGCTGTTAAACCCAACACCAGTGGTATTAGTTGTCATGGCATCTTTCTGATATCTAATCAGGAAACTGACTTAGAATATTTAGAAATAGATTAGATTTAGCAGATTTAGAAGACTTAGAAGAGGTTATTTCAACACATGCTAGCGAATCACATTCAGATAAGATTCTGAGCTCTATCCAGCTGAGCCAGATTTAAATAAGACTCATTAAGTATTTTAATTTGAATTTCATTCTTTCAAAGGCCTTAACTTCAAGTATTGGACATTAGAACTTGCTTAGGAATTCCTTTTTTTTCCCCTTCAATGGAGTCTTGATCCCATAAAAAAAGATTGCATTCAGTAACCCTAGCATAGAAAGTAGACCTTACATTTGCTTTATCAGCTCTATTATTCTCAATGTCTACAGGTTCATATGACTAGGAAATCAACTTTTATTAAAAAAAAAAAGTCTTTAGCAGTTGTTTTGAAATTTTAATAACATTTTAATAACATTTTAATATACCTTCCATTTTATTTTTCTCTTCACAGAGGTGTGAAGAAAAATGTTATTTAACAGTGTTACAATAACACTGTTACTATTCATTTGAGATGTGTGATATTTAATTGCTTTTATTTCCATAACTCTGTGCTCTGTAATTGTCATAAAAACAAAAAGTTTGTGATAAAAATAAAGTTAATTTTTAAAATTGAGAAAGAAGGAAGCCCATCATCATCAAATATTAAAAATAATAGTAATTAATACCAATAATTTATTATTAATCATTCAACTTGTATTTAATCATATTAATATTTAATCATATTAATATTTGGTTAGCATATTATTTAAATTTCATCCAGTACAAAGTATTTCATGGGGAATTTTCTGTTTATGTTATTTTTAAACCCATTTAGCAAAGAGTGCTGTATTTAGTCTTGTTCATGCAATAGATTAATTAGCTCACAGTCATTCAAAACATTTAATATCATGCTTACTTCTACTGGGAGAATGTAGCCTGGGTTTTTTCACTTTTATTTTCTCTGCAGTCTTTGTACAAGAATATGAAAGAGACAGTGACAATCTGACTAGATGTCATATACAGTTTCTTCTAGTGTTATCTGTCATCTGCCATGTCTGCCATTCTACATGCACCTGAGAAAAAGGATGAACCACGTGTACTTCCAGTTTGTAGCCTGTAAGAGTATTGTGCTTTCCATACAGAAATACAGGATGGTTGAGGTTGGAAAGGACTTCTGGGTCCATCTGGTCCAACCCCGCTGTTCAAGCAGCAATACTACCTAGAACAGGTTGCCCAGGACAACATTCAGGTGTTTTTTGAAGATCTTCAAGGAGGTGGCTCTGCTGCATATCTGGGCAACCTGTGCCTGTGCTCCATCACCCACATAGTGCAGAAGTGCTTCCTGATGCTTAGATGGAACATCTTGCTCACTGTCTCTGATCCTGGGACTGGGTGGGCACCACTGAAAAGAACCACTGTGAAGATGAGATTCTTTTATGAAATTTCACCAGTAAGGTGGAGATCATTTTGGTTCTTTACAAAGTCCTATGGTATCTTCACTGCCCAAAACTGTTGCATGTTAGAACTATCTGACTGATCATATTTCCTCATACTATGTTTCTAATCATTTTTAGTAGAATTCACAGCCTTACAAAA